CCACCTGCTGCCTGTTAGAGTCTGGGTTTTGTGATTATATTTCTTTTTCCATCTCCGCGTTTGCTAAAATGTAGAACAGATTCTTTTCGAAACATGAGAGCCATTCAGAAGTTGGTTTAAATAAGAAGAAGAATAGCACCTAATTACAACAATGTGGACTTCCTGTTTAAACTTTCTGGCCTGGGTGTTCCTGAGGAAGTAAGGTGTCCTATGGGCATTGAGGTTCTTGGGTGCCCCTACATAGGAGACAGACCGGCTTTCCGCTGCCAGCTAAAAGCATGGATGCCCTTGTGTCAACTAGTGTTTGCAGGGATCACATCTAGGGGACAGATTTATTGAGTTTCTAGCTCTCATTAACCTTTCTGTAGAAGATTCAAGGTTGGTGTAGGTGGTGGCTCAGATGGAACTGCTGTTGGCTAAAATAGATAGAATTTTAGCTTGACCTTGAAAAAAAGCATATGTAGAGAAGTAGGGGGAAAGCCTAAGAAAAGCTGCAGAGAAAAAGACAATCACACAGGCGCATACATCCCAGTGCCCTCCATAGGCTAAAATAGGGGTGCACTGGGTAGGCTTTTAATTTGGGACTCCTTCAAACTTATGTTCTCTAAATTTGTTCAGAAAAGAAAAAGAATAAGAAGTTACAGCAAGGAAAGGACCGAGGATAAGGAGATGAGTGGCAGCTGTCAAAGATCTTCCTTCTCAAATAAATTCAGCTTTGGCTCCAAACGCATATACCTCACTCAACACCGTGAGAGCCTTGATTTTGAGATGATCCAGTATTGCTTCCAGGGAATTTTAAGAGCATCTCTTGAGCCTCAAGCATGTCTCATGGGGGAAGGGTGTGCCTTCTGCCACTGCAAGCAGCTTTTCAGAGAATGCCTCCCTCCACATGGAGCAGTCTCCCTGAGAATAGTTTCCGAAATGCAATTTGCTCCATCTTGCTACATTTCTAGTGTCATTGGAATACTCCTGGGGACATTCTAGTGTTGTAAAATATCCCTAAGAATATTTTAATACATTTATATGGTGGGACACCATCCACTCACTTGGATGTCCCACTTCTCAATCCAACCCTGTGAGCTTGACAGGTCAGGGCAGCAGTGAGATGAGCAGAACTAATCATCTAGTTCAACCACTCTCCAAGGCTTGAATCTCCTCTCCCACGTCCCCTCCACTGTTCTGTGCTAATTTTCCTCCAAGGAAAGGATGCTTTGATTCCTCTTTCCCAGCATAAGCTTCTAAGGTTTACATATTACTACCTCAGTCATCTGGAGACAGAACAATTTCTCTTTCGTGGTTCTAGTTCCAAAATTTCCCAAAAAGGACTCTTCCCCAAATTCTCTCTCGCTGAGGGAAAGTAGTTTGGACGCTAATAGCAGTTGTAGCCAAATTTCAAGTAGCAGAGCCTTGAGAGATCTGGGGGGCCAGCAGACGTCGTGAAGAAAAGGGAGATGAAAACTAGATTGTGGAGGCTCTTAGTACAGCAAGAGTGTTTGACTACCCTATTTTCAACGAAGTGCTGTTTCCGTTAGAATAATCTGCCTAAATCAAGGGTAGATTAGATTAATTTGAAGCAGAGGAAGAGCAGAACCAGAGAGACAAATTTAAAGGATATTACTTATCTACAAGGATGTCCACCGCAGAATTATTTATAACGGTGAAAGGTTAGAAATATAAATGGTCTAACAATCAGAGATTAGATAAATAAATCACCATGATAAATTATGTCAGAGCACACAATGGAATGCTGTGCACTCAACAAAAATTTGTTATGAAATGTAATTTAGGAGGTATATTTCAAAGCTCATGATCTCATATTATCTAGCCTCCTAAGAGACATAGTTATCACATAGCACATGTTGAAATCATTGAGTCCAGAAATAGTTGAATTCCAAACCTGACTTTGCAAAACCAAAACTAAGTCTTCTCATAAAGTTACTGTCTAAGCCTGATTAGATAAGACTACTAAATCCCTTACTTGTGTCTTCTCCAGTAGAACTTATGGGGACATTATATGATTTGGTCAAATACATACATATCTTTATAATTTACAAATATATACTTATATATTTATATTTATAATTTGTAATCAAAATAATTGTCATTAGCCTCTTGGACAAATTACATTTTTAACAATTTAAGCTGACAAACAATTAGAAATAGGGCCCTGCTTGGTGGTGTAGTGGTGAAGTTTGCATGCTTGGCTTCAGGAGCCCGGGGTTCATGGGTTTGGAGCCTGGGCACAGACCTACACACCACTCACCAAGCCATGCTGTGGCAGTGTACCACATGTAAAATAGAAGAAGATTGGCACAGATTTTAGCTCAGGGACAATCTTCCTCAAGCAGAAAAGAGGAAGCTTGGCAACAGATGTTAGCTCAGGGCCAATCTTCCTTACCAAAAGAATAAAATAAAATAAAATAAAAAATCATTCGACTACCTTCAATATGAAATACAACCTTTACTTCTTTTGGAACCGAGTTGGGGAAAATGTACTGGTGAGGAGAATCAGGCTATCTCTGCCTCTGCCTGGGTTGCACCTTATCAGTGGAAAAATACAGCATTTGAGATTCCACCACTATCAATCTGAGCATTCTCTTGCAAGCAGCAAGCCATTTTACAGACTATTAGCTGTTTGATGGAAGCCATGCTTTAAATCATTTTTTAAAGCCAGTCTTAAGAAAACTCAGTAAAGCACAGCAAATGAGTAAATAAAGTTCAAAGAGGGTCGTGGTGGCCAATGAAACAGCCATCTGGTGAGAGAGCCCTTACAATAATACCCAAGTCTGGAACCTCTGTACATTGTTATATCCTGGGTGCAAGTGCGCTCTTGCCCAAAGCAGTGTTTTTTGTGAGATATCTTCGATCAGCGTTCCTGGAATCAGCTTAGAAAGAGGCATCACTTTAATTGTGTTGCAAGAAGGCATAGTGCTATGATCTCAAAAGGACAGAATACATGTAAAATTTATGTAGCTCTTTAATACAATGGGCTTCGGTTTAAAGAGGTGGGGGATTTACATGTGTTAAGTGCTCCTACAAATCTACTTTACCCTTTCTTGGAAAAGGGCAACACAATAATAATAGTTAAATTTATGTGTAAGATGTCTGTATAGTAGAGCTGCTCAAATCAGTAAATATTACACAGTAGACTAACTGCTTCTGCTTTTAATCTTTAAATATCTTGAACAAAATGCTGTCTGCTAAGTGAGGGACACTTAGCCCACACTCTTTAAACCTTTGTGGTCTGGTTCTATATTATGAACAGAAGATGATAAAATGGAAGCTCCAAATGGGCTTCCTGCCCACTGTTGTTTCCAGATTCTGCCCACCCTGCATATAGATGTCAGAATATTCTTTCTTAAAGAACATTTTCAAAAAGAGTGCTTTTCTATTGAATTTTATATCTTAGCTATTTTCATCTCTGTCCTTACAAGCCTGCAATAACTTTTTCTTGCCTTTATTTTTCCGTTGGAAGAAACCTTATTTTTCACTTTTCTTCGGCATGAAATTTATAAGCAAATCTTCAAAGTATTAACTTATTCATTATACACACACACACGCGCGCACACACACACACACACAGTATATAATCAGCATAGTTTTAAAAGAAAACAATATGCATATACCTTCCTTTCTTTAGAACTGCTCCCGTGCCAGCTCCCTGCCCCAGCTGAAGGGTTGGGCCCCTCCTGCCTTGTTTTGTCACTTTTGAATTTTACTCCTCTTTGGCCACAGTTGATGGGACTAGGGCTGGACACCCGACCCGTGACCTGAGCCATTCAGATTCTCTCTCCTAAGAATTTAAACTAAGAGACAAGAGAGTAGAGGTCATGGTGCTCCCTGGCCTGTGAAAACTTGGTGCGGAGAGAGGCCGTCTGCTGAGAAAAGCAAGAGAATGGAGCAGATGGTAGATCATGTGGCCCCAGAGAGAAAAAAGAGACTGAGAAAGTCGCTGCTTTTGCTCCTGATGGTGGTCCAGGTCCTAGTTCAGTCTTCTGAGGACCGGCTGTACTTCCTCGCTGAGGTTCTATGTCATTTCCTTATACTGTTATAACAAATCTCTCTGGCTTTAAATTAGGTGGAAGCGATTTCTGTTTCTTACACCTACACAAATACTAAGATGATGCACATGCATCCATGTGGATCATACATCTATATTTATCATATATATGTGTATATATAAACATGTAGATGTATTTATATTTATATATGATACACACTACGTGCAAAGAGGGTAGGTTTAAAACAGTGACAAATATTAAGACTTGGTCTCTACTTTCATATGACTCTTAACAAAACAGGCAGTAAAAGATAAGTGCTCAGTGAGAGGAAACCACTGCAAAGGCTCTAAAGGATTTGGAAGAGGAAGCTCACATATCCCATAGCTGGGGTTGGCCAACTGAGGGAAGGGCTTGTGAGAAGGAGGATGAGAAGTGGGCCCCACATCACGACAATGGACTAGGTAGGGTTTAGACAGGTGTCAAAGACAAGGGAGAGAAAGAAGTGAGGGGGAAAAAAGAGAAAGGCGAAAGGCGATGAGGGTGTTTTTTGGGAGTTGGCAAATGATTAAACAACCTTGCTTTATAGAGGATTCAGATGGCAAATCGCTACCAAGGAGGCCCAATATCCCTGAGGTGGAAGCTCTCTGTGGGCCAAAATCTTAATTTTCTAATGCAGATTTTCAAATTGATTGAATGGATGAGAGTTATTAACTAAGCCGATGGACTTTTCCTCATAAACACCACTATTTGGATAATTCATCAAAATAAGATTATAAAATCTACAAGATAGAATTTTTATTTTTTAATTTTGAAAACCATGTTTGGTTATAAGTGATCGGCCATTATCTCCAAGTAACACAGAACAATATCCTAGTTTTTTTCCCCTAGAGGTAGACAGAAATTCCTTCTTGTCTTCAGTGGAGCTCCAGTTTCACACACACTTACAGACACAGGCACACAAACGCATGATAGAATGTCAGAGCAGTAGAGAGCCCTCACCTGAGATAGAAGAAAACGAAAGAGCAATGAGGCTGGAGGTTGTAGCTGTTGAGATCCTGCGTTTTGCAGTCACAGGACTTCTTCCTCCTAATCAAGTAACTGTGGGCAGGTGACCTGAAGCGTAAATGGAGATAGTAATAGACCCCACCTCACAGTGCTGCTGTTATGAGGTCAAGAGATTTCCCAGGCTTTGGCAGTTAGACACTGACAGAGCTAAGACCTGAACTCAGGCCTCCTGACCTTCAAACCAGGATTCTTTCCAGAATTTGTTATACAAGGATATTTAGAGCCTGCTTTAGAAGTGGCAGAGAGAATAAGAGAATTTGAAGATGGAGTATTTAGGAGCTGTGCTGAACAAGTTAATTGAAGCTATCTTTCACTTAAATTTGAATTAAGAATTTTTTTGCATTGCGTGATTTGACAGTGAGGGAGCATACTGGTGTTTTCACATTTTTTATTTTTTATTTTTTTATTTGTAAAACTCTCATATAGTCTCAGTTGAAATGAAAGACATAGAATTTTTTTCTTGTTTTTAATTTTGGTTGTTTTTATTTATTTTTTTGCTGGGAAAGATTTGCCCTGAGCTAACATCTGTTGCCAATCTTCCTCTCTCTCTCTCTCTTTTTTTTTCCCTCCCTAAAGCCCCAGTACATTGTTGTATATTCTAGCTGTAGGTCCTTCTAGTTCTTCTATGTGGGCTGCCACCACAGCATGGTTACTGACAGACGAGTGGTGTGGTTCTGCGCCCAAGAACTGAACCCAGGCCACCGAAGTGGAGCACACCAAATTTTAACCACTAGGCCATCAGGGCTGGCTCAAGACATGGAATTTTTTAGTACCTTGATCAGAATGGAGAGAGGGCTTGAATCAACACATCTCCAAAGACAATTTCTTGTGGCAGAACACAAACAAAAGCCCAAGAACGGGCTGGATCAAGGCTCATAAAGTGAGAATCCTTCAGGGCAGAAGTCAATTCATCAGCAGAAGCCACTATTTCCTACTGAGTCTTTTCCTCACACTATGGTCAAACTTGCATTCTTCATTCTAGTCCATACCAGAGTCAAGAGAGAAGCATCTAGGACATGTCGTCTGTGTGGACCTTGAATCTGAGGATTTACATCTACAATTACACAGGAGAATTCTCAGCCTTTTTTCTTCCAAATACTGCTATTCCTCCAGATACTCTAGTCTCCCTTTCTCGAACTCATCATAGATATATGCTTTCCTCCAAGTCTCATAACTTCTCTATCATATTTTCCTTTTATCTCTCTGTTATTACATTCAAGGAAATTGTCCCTGCTCTATCTTCTAGTTCACTAATTCTCTCTTTAACAGCAACTAATTTGCAGTTTGATTCATTTGGATTTTAATTTCAGTGATCAAAATTTCTACTTCTAAAACTTCCATTTGGTTCTTTATCATTTCCTTTTTTCCCTTTTTGTGGTTTTTTTGGTATGTTTTTTTTTTGTCTTCAGTAATTTAAACATATTTATTTTATACTCTTTATAAAATTTTTTTTACCTAATGTTCTTGAGGTTCTCATTCTACTGTTTCTTGTTCCTTTGGCTCACCCTCATACAGAATTGTTTATTTTTATAATTTTGAATTGTGAGCTTTTCTTCAGCAAGGATTTATCTGTGGCCTGATTGGATGGTGTGTCCTTCTGGAGAAGTTTGGAATCTACTTCTGCTTGGTGGCCCAGAAGTATTACCAGTCTATGTCTGCGTTTTATGTGCATTCCTTAGCTTGTTTCAAACTTTAAAGTTGCAAAGTTCAACACCCCTACCAGTCACCCCCTAAAACACTCTAGTTTTCAATTTTCTCTGCATTTCAGCAGCTAGGGATTTCCTTCCTCTCCCCCTCTCTCCTCCCTTCCCCTCTCCTCCCCCTCTGTACCTTCCTTTCTCCTTCCTTCTTTCTTTTTTTGCTTTCTTCCTTTCTGTTTCCCTTTCCTTTCCTTTCCCTTCTTTCTTCCTTCCTTCCTTCCTCCCTCCCTCCCTCCCTTCCTTCTTTCCTTCCCTTCTTTCTTTCTTTTTTATTCCTTTCTTCTTCCCTCTTTCTTTTTTTGCTTTCTTCCTTTCTGTTTCCCTTTCCTTTCCTTTCCCTCCTTCCTTCCTTCCTTTCTTTCTTTCTTTCTTTTTCTTTTTCTTTCTTTCTTTCTTTCTTCCTTCCTCCCTCCCTCCCTCCCTCTCTTTCTTTCTTTCATTTTTGTTCCTTCCTTCCTGCCATTCTGTCTTTTTTCTTTGTTTTATAGAGGGAGGTTTTCCAGGTAATACACTCTTCTCTGTTGCTTGAAGCAGATGTCTTATATGTGTGCCCAGTCACATTTTAGATAGATATTTCTTAGTCTCCCTGGTAAACAACTGTACTTCTGGCCCTTCTCAAACTGGTCTCCCTCTACTCTCATACAATCCCCTGTGCTCCAGCCATCCTGCTCTCTGATTTTTTCCTTGAATATGCCCTTTGCTGTCCTGCTTCAGATGCTTTATTCATGTTGCCCCTTTTTAATTTGACCTCACCTGCTCATCCTCACCTAATAAAATTCTACCCTTCCTCAAAGTCCACTTCAGATATCTCATTCATGAAGCCCACACTCATTCTATGAAGCAGGTGTAAATTCTCCTTTCTCTGACCTCTCCTAGCATTCCTCACTTGTATTGCAGAACTGTACCACATTTGCTTTATTCTCCAACTAATTTTTTAAATTGCTTAACAGCAGAAACTAGAATATTATACCTCTATATTCCCTATGGGCCCCTGATACTGTTTGGTTTTGGGTGTTCAAAAAAAGTAAATGTTTTTTTAATTGAATCTATTTTAGTAAAAGGGATAATATGGCAAAGACACTACTTGTAGGAGGTTGGATGCTCTTTGGAAGTATCTCTTTTATCTACTTGCTGTGTTTGAAATTCCCTCATGCTACAATGAGAGAGAAAGTTTAAACCCAAAAACATTCCTGAAAGGAGGATATCCATTAATTTAAATACACTACAAGGTTAAAAAGGGTGATAGCAGTTGCTTTGAGAAGGTAGAAGGGGGATGGAGTTGATGCAATTTGATGTGAGGGGGTTGATTGGGTGGAGGAAGCATCTTCAGTGGCAAAAGCAGGCAGAGAAGAGAAAGCTGAGCTCTATGGAGACACAATTTTCTGCATCCCCAGTTTTGCTATGGACTGGCCTTGAGCAGGATTTCCAAGGACTTGACCTCTGTCCCTGGGTGATGGTATCTCAGTAAACGTTCCTTGGGGTCTGGAAGAGAAGGTTTTCACTTTTTATTTTTTTAAACTTTTAATTCAGCATCCTAAGGTTACAATTCTACCGTCATTGTTAACAGACTGGTATGGATTCTTCTGGACTTATTTCTAAACATATAATATTATAGCTTTACTCTAACAAGAAACAGGATTATGTTATATGCACTGATCTACAATGTTTTTTTGCTTTTAATGAACAATATAATATGGATATTATTCCAAATCAGTACATTTCAATGTAACTATTTAAAAACAATTCCATTGTAAGGTAGTATGTAACTTATTTTCACAAGCTGAAATTCACTCTGTCAGCTGTACTTCAGGCTCTATGATTCTAAACCTAGTAGTTCAGTTCTTCCCATCAAGGATTTTGCTCAGGAATAAAGGGTAAAGAACCTTAGAAGAGAGGAGGGGGTACAAGTCTACTCTCAGGATTTTCCAGGTACATTTACTGCCTACCTGGGTACCTCTTAGGGTGGTTTCTGTGAGTACACATTTTATTGTGAAAGAAATCTGATGCCTGGTAGAAGTTAGCTGACAGAGAGGCAATGTAACACAGTTAAACTACCTGGGTTTAAAGTCCAGCTTTGCCATCTACCAGTTGTGTAATGTAGGAAAAAATTACACAGCCTCCTGTGCCTCAGTTTTCTCATCTTCCAAATGTGGATAACAACAGGACCTAGTTTACGAAATTCTCACAAGGACTGAATGATTTAAAACCTGTAAAGTGCTTGTAATCCTGTCACATACCAAGTACTTAATGAAATGTTAGTTAAACCTTGATGTGTGCCTGATACCACCCAGCAGGAAGAGAAGGTTCAGCTGATAGCTGAGAGCAGTGAGTTAGCTGGCAGCTGTGAGTTCCAGTGGTGAAACGAGCGAGCTTCTTAGCCCAGGCAAGTATTCTGACAGTTTCAGTTCTCCCAGGATTGAAGCATCATCTCAGGTCTCCCTCCCTGGCAACTTCACTGAGTTTCTCTAGTACAAAACAATGCCGGAGTAGTATAGAGTATGCGTATGTGGCCTCTGCCCTGCTATCATTTGGGACCAGATAATTCTCTGTTGTGGGGGCTGTCCTGTGCATTGTAAGATGTTTAGCAGCAACCCTAGCCTCTACCCACTAGATGCCAGTAGCACACCCTCTGCTGAAACAACCAAAAATGTCTCCAGACATTGCCAAATGTCCCCTGGGAGGCAAAATTGCCCCTGATTGAGAATCACTGATGTAATCTCATACTGGATAGGGAGGTTGCATTTTCTAGCTGTTTCTTGTATGTAAATCTATCTATTTTACTAGACTAGAAGAATCTTCAGGCAGGGGCCACCCTGTATCCCACTCATCCACCCACCAGCACGGTGCTGGATACTCAGACTTCACTTAAATACTTACTGCTTAACTCAAAAGAGGCAATCAAGCTAGTTGGTTAACATTTTAATTTCTGATTTGTACCAAGATTGATTTAAATAGAGGTAACATCAAGGCTAATTATTTCTGCTGACTCTTGAAATGTCAATTACTTCAAAACTCATCCTTCTCCTATAATACGTCACACAACTCAAGCTGGGGTTTTTGTCTTTCTCTGATCACCATTCCGTACATACTTCACACAATCGCTGGGATATATAAAGTTTGGTTTTAATTGCCATCTATTCATTTCCTTCTTTACAATGAACTGGAAATATCTCAGAAGCACTGAGAACGTCTTTCTCAGGATCCCTTTGTCATTGGTGTCACGATGTCTGAATTTTAAATCACTAGAGATGTTCAGCCAAAGAGCAGGCTTGGGGGATTGCTCTGTGCCTCACACATGGCCTGGCAGGCAGGAATGCTTGAGGA